GATAGCAGACACAGCGGGTGTGAGACTAAGCATATATTAAGTGCTCAGGGGTCAAGGAAAAATGAAAAAAGGTTCTTCGGTTGGGTAATTAATACATGCAACAACTTCTTGTAGAAGATACGAAATGCAATGCGGAGATTTTGGAGCAACTTTTGAGACACTTTGATTTTGGATTTTTGGAGCATCTCATAGACAGCCCTAATTACCGGAGAATTATGACCTACAATTAGCCAATCAGAGCGCGCGTTATATTGGCTATAAACACAAGCCATAAAATAAAAGACGATCAAGTTTGTTCTTACACGAGAATATTTTTCTCTCATTCTCTCATATCCGGTGTTTGAGGGTGACCAGGGGTTGATCTAAATACTGTCAGTATGTGGAATGCATTCAAACCACTTCGCCGTTACATTATTAGATTTGCTCTCACGTTTTTAAGCAGTTACGGATAATGATTACTTTCTCATAAAGCAGTTTTCACTTGACTGTCGAAAGTAATCTGACTAACTGGATTCGCTTTTGCTTTGGTTTTACATTCGTGCGCTGCGCGATTTCAAAAAATTCCCGCAGCATTAAAAGAACATCAATGGTGACTTCACGCTTTCCCGCGCTTCGCGTCTGTTACATGGCTTTGCTACGAGTTTTGATTGGTTCCCTAGATTTTCCGGGTCCTTTGTGATTGGCCATAGTGATGACCGTAGGTTTGGTTTTACAAACCACTTTAGTACGTATACATAGAGCGGTTTTATAATTGAGTATCGTAAAACCAAACCAATTACTTACCAATTAGACCAAGTAAAACCGGCAAAACTATAGCAATTGCTTGATTACTTTCGACACTCAATTAAAACCGCTCTAATTAATGAGTCACTTACATGTTTATAAGTTTAATGACTCAGTTAGTCACAATTCTAAAGTTCTCAGTGAACTTGAAGTCGAAAATATTGTGGCACAAAGTTCATCCAAGTGCAACATATAGGGTGTGCAAAGCTTACTAAAGAATTTCTATAAGTAAGTTATGTCTGAAATAAAGAATTTGAAAATATCACTAGCAGCACTGGTTTTTACCTCCAGAGTAAAGCTGATGGAGTTTTATCCTGTTTGTCCTTTTCTCTTCCATCATTTCTGTGTTCATCTGCAACTTTATTAAGTTGCTTCCAAGCTAAATTTTTCTCCTTTCATGAGTGAATCAAACCAAATTAACTGATAGCTAAAGAGCAAGTGTAATTGTACCGTCTCCTCAAATACTTTGAAGACAACTTTGAACATGTTAAAAGATCCTGTTAGACATGTAGACACCTTACAAGTTCCTGTGGGAACGAGAAAGAGGTTGCTTGTTCTCCAGAGGGCGCTGTTGCATTAGGCAAACTTTACTTGCAACTCGTCTCGCAATGTTTTTGTACCGTTGAAAGAACGTTATATGCAGAAGACAAGCTGTTTCCAAAACGAAGACCCAAAAAGACCCACCGGACGAAGGACTAGCTACAAAAAGGAAGACTCTTGGACGCAAATGAAGATCAACTGGAGTCAAACAAAGAACTACTAGGGCTAAAATGAGGACCACAGGAATATTTTTAACACGAAGAGCCGCTGGACTAGAACGAGGACTACGGGACTAAAACGAGGAGGGACTGGACTAAAACTTATTGGGAAACCAATGTGCATCTTCAATACAATCCGAATG